GTATATTTTAATAAGGTTTTTTAGAAGTAGACATTATCGAGACTAAGATTTAGAAAGAAACACTTCGTCACTTTTTTTGAGCTAAGACACAATATATGCCTTGCCCTGCCTATTTCTACCGTGTAGCAGGATGCGTTTCGGTTTGAAGGGTGGGGCAGCCCTTGTAACCATACTGAGACCTTAGAACTCATATCTCAAGGTGGGTGGCGCATTTACGTTGTAGATACCTATGGGCTCCAGTAACCAATTAACACCAGGTGGGCTGTGAGCTCATCCACCCATCCAAGCAATAAAAATAAAATAAAAAATAGTGATAATACCTATTTTCAAACTTTTAAAATGACCGATTTAATCAATCCAATAGTAGCTTGGCAGTGCCACTGACATTAAAAAGGTCCGAGCGGTAATGGTCGTTTGAGTTTGAATCATCGATGGCTATAAAAAATTAGGGATTTGTGTTGACGGTGAATACTGTTTACCACTTAAAATACAATAACGAAGGTAGTATCCCGATTTGTATTTCCATATACATTTCATTTATATAATCAACATTAAAAAGATCACTGAAATATGAACTGAAATCCAATAACCTTTTTTTTTGCTCAAAAACAGAGAAACTTAATATGTAAAAAAAAAGACAAAAGCTTTCCTTCTGCCAGACAAATTAACAAAAAACTCTGACAAAATGAAGACTAATTAGATTTAGTCCGAAACAGGACCGAAATTATGACATTCCAAAGAATGAAAGTCTTAAATTGAATTCCGATGATCCCAATACAAAAAAAAAAAAAACGACGCTTCGAATTATTAAAAACTTTTGTTCATTATTTTATGTTTACGATGTCAAGCATTCACCATGGGCCCGGTAACCATTTTATACAGTGTGTCTTGAGTTCGTTCATCTGTTAAGGTAATAAATAAAAAATCGACTGATAAGTTAATAATGGTTTACGTTGGTTTTTTGTTTATATAGTTGAAGAACTACGAGAAAAAAATTGGAATTTATTTTTTCGATCTTTTCTGATAAACTTATTTTCGAAACACAACAGAAAATGTAAGACATCAAATTAATATAAATCTGCGAGTAAATAAATCTAAAATTCCTGTTAAATTCCTGTCCTGTTAAATTAATACTCATTCTCAGAATTCTTAATTGACGGTAAAAACAGGATTAATATCTGATAACAACTAATATTATTAAATAATACCCAGACACCACAATTTTTCTATTATACTATATCAAGATGTACTTTAAGCTTTCCAAGTACCTACCTACTACTTGAAAAGCATTGATTGTTTCAACACGGTTACAATAAACAGCTTAATTTATTTGGAGGCCGCTTTTAAGGGGATAAAATTAATAAGATGCGGAACGTAATGCGTAACGGTAAAACAATTGACATTTTTCGTAATTTCACTAAGTAAATGAACATGAAAGAAGCCGTCGGCGCGTCTTTGATGTCATTTTTAATTTACTTTATCAAGTAATTATAACTCGTCTTAAGTATGAGCTAACAATAAGAAACAATTACAATTTCTTATAGAGCCCCATTGGATGTTAATAGATGATTTTAAGATTGACCTTTTGGTTAACGAGGATCATAAGTTCGACATAAATCAAAGAAAATTGACTCGTTTGATCTAAGTAAACGATGGAGTAAAATGTTGAGATATTTTTAGTAGGCGTTAAAATAATGCTAAACTGTAGTTTAGACCGGTTTAAACTGATTAGCTGGTGAAATTCAATAGTTTATAACACATTACGAGTATACTCATATACATTATGAGTATACATTACGAGTTTACTGGTGGTAGGACCTCTTCTGAATCCGCGCGGGTAGGTATCACCACCCTGCCTATTTCTGCCGTGAAGCAGTAATGCGTTTCGGTTTGAAGGGTGGGGCAGCGGTTGTAACTATACTTGAGACCTTAGAACTTATATCTCAAGGTGGGTGGCGCATTTACGTTGTGGATGTCTATGGGCTCCAGTAACCACTTAACACCAGGTGGGCTGTGAGCTCGTCCACCCATCTAAGCAATAAAAAAAAAATAAAAAATGAAGTAAAACAATATTTGAAATAGTCCTTCGCCGTGCGTTGCAACGAGTACATTGATCGTGCCCATAGCATAAGTTCGAATATATATATCTTAAAACAATAATTTATTTGGTTAGCGGTGGCTAATGGTCTGATCAGCACCTTACCATAGGTCCAATACAAGGCTGTTCCTACGATTATTTACTCACCTTTTTTTTTTACTCACCTAGTGTATAAAAATAGCAATTATAATAACAGTTAGGACTATAAGACCGAGTCTCGTCCCAATTTCAATCAAATAGTTTGTGATCATTTTATTTTTAATTGCGTAATATTCTATCATTCTGCTATTTCTGTCACGTAAGAGCATGTAAGATTTTTAGACTGATAAATATGATTACATTTTATCGTAAAACATTAACTGTAATACAAAAAGCGTAGCTGTGTATCATTAAGTTCCTGGGACTAAATTATCGAGTATTGTAAATCGACTGATCACTGTTGAGTTTTCAATTACTTAGTCATTATTTATCATGTCAGCGGCTGACCACACTCCATTTTCCACGACAACCTTAACAGATTCTGCGGTTACGTAATTTTGCTAATTGAAAATTGCTATTTTTCGCATAACACTTTTCATCTATTCCTGTTTTAATTATCTGGTTTCAATTCAACTTCGATCATTGGGTTGTAACGTAAATACTGTAATACACCTTAGCAGAATTTACGTTTTGATGCTTATAGGCTTTCCACGAGTTAGACGGTGACGTTGTCCGTTTGGTCTTATAAAAAGTTGCTATTCCCTTTTATCAACCACACTGATAAAACGACTATTCGTTAATGCCCCGACGCGCGGTGCCTTGGTCTTTCTTTCCAATTCGCAAATACACCCGAACTATGGCGCTACGCCAACAAAACTTAAGCCACATAAAAACAGCGAAAGCCCAGACAGGTCCCAATCTTTTACGCTGAATTGTGTTTCACAAAGTATTCGGAGTCAAAACGAGACCAGAATTGCAGCGCAGTAGAGCAATGTCGCAAATTACACTCAATAAATTCACAGTACGGAAGACTATCTCACTTCCTATCCTACGGCAGCTATCTGCTCCGTTATAGTCAATCGCTTTATGCTAAATACACTCGTTAACCGTAATTCGTATGAAATTTAGAAAAGGAAATATTTAAAAACCGAAATATTTTGTCAAAAAATATGAACTTGGTGATGATTAATAATGGCGACAGAGTGTTTATTTTTGTGTCACTCTCTATATTTAATTACCGATGAAAATTTATTAATCTAATGATATTTTATAAGTGTGTGAGTAAAATTGATCTTCCTTCTAGTCCAATTAAGAGCCATTAACAATTCGTTTTAAGGAAATTGAAAAAGTGAAAGAGCAATTTACTTAATTTAATACAGTTCTATCACGGCCCAATACCTACACTCTTAGACGTTCAAGGAATTAGCCCCAAACTCAGATTTATTTTTATAAAATAACGAAGTGTGAAGGTAGTTAATTTCAAAAACAAAATGTACCTTAGTACATTGTCTGAAGTGAAGTATTTAAAGTGAGAAATCGGCAAAAATAGAGGTTAATAAATAAGGTTAATTCAAATGTTGTTTTTGTAAGTTATTATGCACTGATCTACGAATATATGATTACTCGACGTAAAAATCCACAGTAAGCTAGGTTCTTCTTAGTTAAACAACAGACTCGGTTGTGTTTAGTGGATCTAACAAAAATGCTGTTTTTGAAAGTTATTATGCACTGATCTACGAATATATGATTACTCGACGTAAAAAATCCACAGTAAGCTAGGTTCTTCTTAGTTAAACAACAGACTCGGTTGTGTTTAGTGGATCTAACAAAAATGCTGTTTTTGAAAGTTATTATGCACTGATCTACGAATATATGATTACTCGACGTAAAAAATCCACAGTAAGCTAGGTTTTTCTTAGTTTAACAACAGACTTGGTTGTGGTTAGTGGATCTAACAAATAATACTATCTCTGTCTATTACTCAGGAAACACAGATTTGTTGACCTGCCTGCGTGCTGAGCTTTTTGTATCTGTATATCATATCCATAATAGTAACATCGCTTTTTTAAATTTCCCCGTATAGTTCCCTTTGCATCAATGGTACATTATGGTACGAGATTATTATAAATTTATCTTTACATTTGCGAAATTGGATTAAATTAAAATGCTTATTATAAATAGGCCGCTTTATCTTTAACTGATTAAAATTTCAGCAAAAAGGACCAAGTCAATGCACATAATATATAGGTTTTCTTTGTAACACAAGCTACAACTACCAGCAAGCTTACTGGGTACTCAATTATCATTACACGTGGACAAGTAATATTCGATAATATGTTAAGAGTAGCACGATTTATCTCAGTGGGTGATTGAGACATACAAATTGACTTTGGATAAAAATTGGGTACAGATTGACAAATTTCAGCTTAGCTAAATTGCCGCTTGATACATCGGAATGCGGGTATGGGCAAATTAACGCGTAATGATTTAGATAAGAATACTGAATTGTAAGTCGACGAGAGTGGAAGGGCATCGCATGAAAACCAGCTGAAAAGTGACGCAGCGATGGGACGAAATGTGAGTATACAAATGGTGCGGCGGAGACACGCGATAAAATTCACAAAAGCGAAATAAATTGCGACTTCCAGTTGAAAGTATTTCGCGCGCTATTGTCGCGCAATCCAAATCGTACCCTTATAAAATCTATCTCATAAATGTTGATTATTTGTTAAACTCTAAACGGGTCTACGTAAGTTTTTCCACAATTTTCAGATAAAAGAAAAGCAGAACATATTTAAGTTCCCCAGAACGGTCGCTATCTTTGATGTCCTTTATTTTTATTTTATTTTTTTATTTCATTTTATTTTTATAATCTCTATTACTGAAACGTGCTGTTTCAATTTTGTTAACACTGATTAAGGAAATGGAACGAGTTTTGCTATCTGTTGGCTACACAATACGGGACCGCGGTGAACATATCCAAGTTGGTCAGTGCTATTTTCCAATACACTTACTCTAATACACAATACTATTTTTATTGTGATATACTTGTTTGGTTTTTATGAAGATATACCATTTATGTTTACGGTTGTAGCGTTTAATATCACGGTCCACTCAGGACTGTTTGAATACAAATAATTAATTAATCTTACTTAGCACGTGATCGTGTATTCGCCTGTGGCTTACCGTGTAGATTTAGTCAATGTCGTCAGCTAACCAAGTCTTCACAGCTGCATATCAACAGAAACCTAGTTGCCTCGTGCGCTTATTACTGGTCATACTACGGCAGATTTGCATAATGTATGACCACTGAGAAGCTACATGACTAGTTAGATCAATTATTTAGGCTGGTCACATTTTGAGAGCTTTATTGTAGTACTTAAAAGTATTTAAAGGCAGAAGGCATAATTTCGTAACCAAAATATTGAAAGCCAGAGGCCCGTTCCAGCTCCGCTCGGGTCTTTAACAAAAACTTCAACGAATTTGACGTTGTTTTATTTTTTTAAATAAAAGAACACTTATTGCGGCGTAACTATAATAGTTAGGACACTTTATGAAAATAATAATGTGTTCTACAAAGTCGTAGTACATTATTTTATTCTATCATCAATAGTTTTCGCAGAGCACGCGATGTAAAGAATATTTTAGGTAATTTTGTTACACCTTGGGTTACATTATCGGAGTTTTAGTAAGGATCCCTATTTTTTTCAAAAATAATTATAGCCTGTGTCACTCGAAATAGTGTAGCTTCCAAACAGTGAAAGAATTTTTCAAATCGGTTCAATAGTTTCGGAGCCTATTCAATACAAACAAACAAACAAATCTTTCCTCTTTATAATATTAGTATAGATTAACTAAGCTAGAACTGACATGTTTGGAAGTTTTAAATATACGTCTCGTTACTTGAAGCTATTTTTAGGTAAACCAAAGTTATAAAGTTACGTTCACACATTACAAAATAATTTTCGATACTACTCCGAAAAAGCTGGCTTGTTAAAAACGCTGTATGATACAACAGGATTTCCGTTAATTCTGATTAAACGTTTTCGATAATCTGACAATACAAACAGATGCGATCGGTGTACTGGTACCATAACAATGAAAGAATGTGTGTGATTTAATCATTGTTTACTTGTCTCGCTACATTTATATCGGTAGATATACACTATGATTAAAAATATTGAATCAAAAAATTGATATCAGTATTTCAGCTTCAATACCTAATCTATATATATAAAAATGAATTGCTGTTCGTTAGTATCGCTAAAACTCGAGAACGGCTGGACCGATTTGGCTAATTTTGGTCTTGAATTATTTGTGAAAGTCCAGAGAAGGTTTACAAGGTAGACAAATATGAAAATGCTCAGAATTAAATAAAAATAACAATTTTGTTTTCCCTTTGATGTGTCCCCTGTCGGGCGGATTCCTTATGTTTGTTTTAAGTTTATTTTATACAAAAGGCTAGGTCGATTTTTATTTATCGATTATCGATTGAGGCACTACGAAGTCTGCCGGGTCAGCTAGTTCCAAATAAATGTGTCATCGTTTTATTGGGTCACGTGATTTTAAGTAACCACTTCAAAAATAATATCACACTCCAAACTTCCTTACTAAGAACACATTCTAATTACATAGTGTAATCACGAAATCACTTCTAATGCAATAAAGACATAATTCGGGTTGAGTACCAAATCATATCGTTGAGGATTAATTAAATTCATAAGCTCCCTCGTTTGCTGCGGGTGTGTGCGTGTTGCCCATGAGTGTTAGCAGCCTTGCACCCCAGAACCTAAAGTTAAATGGAATGTGACCGCACCTTCGGGTTATGGTCGACCCACGCATTCTACTTAACGCATGTCTTAACTAGGTTTTACGCCCATCACCGGCTCATTACAGGTTTTTATTAATCTATGATTTATTATTTGTCTTCCTCTTCTTTGATTGTTTTGTATGCGAAAAGTGAACGAAGGTTCTTAATCTTTTAAATTGTTTGCTGTTGCTACTGTTGGTATCGTGTAACGTGATTCAGAACGGGTTTATGCAAGATATAGCCGGAAAACACAGTTACGTTGTCTATAATAGGCATCGGTGATACGCATTTAACAGAACGTCGTAATCTTTCCTCCACACCATTCATTACAAATATTCTAAATTAAAAAAACTGTTTCTGCGGATTATTTAAAATTATGTGATACATTGAATCCTGTCTAAGTGGGAAATTGAAGTTGTGACCCACATGCTCATATCTTCTGATAGTGTCAATAACACAGATGTCTGTTCTAAAATAGCTTTGCTGTGAGCGGTAAAATAAAAGGCACAGACCAAATAATCGAGCGGTATTTAACAAGATTAATCTTTTGTGTGGTTTCGAATCCTTACTTAGATTCCTTGGATCCTTACTTACTTAGATTCACGAATCGATCCTAATTTCCATTTAACCAGAGTTTAGTCTTAGGCAAAAATCAATATGTATTACGATTTAAATTAAAAACGGAGTCCTTTTGAAAAAAAAACATACATTCGTGGCTATGTTATAAATAAAAGGAGCACATGCACGGTTTCCATATTGAAAACCGACGTTCATAATTTAGCAGGAAAAAAATATTGAAGTAGAATGTTTTATGCTAATTTATTTGAAGTTTTTCGAGGACGAGAGACATTTTCAAAAGGTAATTAATGAACTCGTAGTCATGGTAATATGTGTGTAAATTAGTGGTACCACTGTTTCTATCATATATGTTTGTTTATTATATTCATGAATCAGTATCGCTTTGGACATTTATTGTAAATCTCCAATCCATTACAATCATAAGCAAATGGAACAAGCATCTATTAATCACGTAAATACCGAATTAGACGTCACACATAATAGTCTGTCTAGTTAATAATCGATTAATATGCTCTATACGCACCGAGCGATGCAACTATATCTGCCTTCAAATTCCTACGGTAAGTATCAATTTCCTTTAGTGCCTAACGCGTTCTAACAAACGACTTGAACGCTAAAGGTAGAAAATATTGTGTAATAAAATAGAGACTGCGATTTTTGTTTATTTCTATAAATCCAATGGTAAGATTTACTATGATCCCGCAGTCTAGTGTAAATTACGCTACCAGCAGCCAGAAAATAATACCATAGACTGCCGTAGTTTACTTTTACTTATTTATTTGTAATTTCACTTTTAAAAATTTTTAGGTACGTGCTCACTACAAAGTACACAGTCTTCCGCTGTCCTCCACTTTTTTTTTTCTACTACCTCATTCACTACATTCTTTTCCGTTTTTAATATGCCTAATATCCTTACTATCGTCATCGCTCCCACCAGCAGTGGTCCCACGTGGCAATCCGAAAATTGTCTTAATATTAAAATGTTAAGATTTATATTATAGTTACATTACAACAAACTTTACACTAGTATAGGCAGAATATAGGTTTGCTACCTACTCTTTCAGGTTCACAACATTCTCAGAGAAGAGTAGAGAGAAGGGTAGAGAATACTACTAACAATTTCCCGATGAAGGAATTAGTCTCACTTTCCAGTTTGAGAGTGGGACTTTGCGCTTAAATCACGTGGTGGGCAACGATATTCGGACTGTGATATCTACAGGCTCCAGTGACATGGACAATGATGTTAGATTAACTCATATTCCAGCCGTCTCCCTACATCTAGAGCATTAGGGATCTTAAGTTGCGCAACCACCGGCCTAGAACCAGTTTGAATGCTAAATCAATGAAGATCATGAAGCCTCCTCTGAAGATTGAATGTTGAGATTCGTTTATGAGGGTGAAATAGAAAAGTACTTCTGTTGTACGAATTTCAGGAGTGGGGTCTTATATTTTTTGACCTTTTGTCCGTCTTTAAACTCCCGAAAGTCTGGGCGTTCAAATTTGCCGAGGTAATGAAAACAATGCTAAGTTTCTAAAACTTTCACTTACAACGACTTGAATTGTTCTGAACTTGTTACCAAATATCCACATTTTTCCCTGAAACTTTACACACATTACAATCAAAGTATATAAGATTGTGAAATCGCCAATCGTGAACGAATTGCAAAGCAAATTGTTCTAGGATTTCACCACTGTCATTCGTTATAATTAAAAGAATGACCTCATGTCTCAAGGCGGGTGGTAGCATTCTCGTTGTGAGGTCGAAGGGCCATGAACCTGTTCATACAGCTACGCAAAACAAAATATTAATCTTAGTTTACTAAGCATGTCACATACTATTCATAAAGCTCTAACGATAACTGCATAAAGTTTAAGCACAATCGGAAAAGCTATACGTGAAGGCCTTGTGTGCGATCACGTATAAACAAAGCCATGAAGATTTTCTACATTCGATTTCTCTGATGTCACATTGTGTTTATCAGATAATAATTTAAATGTCTAATGACGTTATATACATTTAAAAATCGATTTTATAATGTGAATTTATACTCTACACGTTCCTACACCATTGATATGATTTTGATAAAAATGAGTAAATTGACCCACAGACACAGCCCACTGAGTTTCTCGCCAGATCTTCTCAGTGGGTCGCGTTTTTGATTCGGTGGTAGATTCTGGGAAGCACTGCTCTTGCTAGGGTGTCAGCAGCATCTTCAAGTTTGAGTCCCTTTAACTAACCTACTAGTTAAGGCTACGCTGATATGGTCTTCCTAGACTATCAGCTTAGGTAGGAAAAAAAAAGCTGGCGTTCCGGAAAAGGCTTCTGGCAGAGTACTATTAACGTACGAATAGAAAGTGCTAGAGTGGTTTTAAGAAATGGATGTTTCTCAAACATTTAGCGTTAGTTGTAGCAAAGCGTGATGTTTCCACTAGTTTATAAATAATTAAAATATATGTTTGTCACTAACCTGCTGCGCACCTTGACCCATTTTTAAAATTTCTCTTTTTTGACCGTATTAAAATGAGTTCCTGGATTGCTTAAAATTAAAATAGGAGAAGGTAGATAGCACGGCGACTAAGTACCACGTATTTGTCTAA